ATATACATAAATATATATATACAGTACACATATCCAGTTCACTCACACACACACACATATATCCAAGTTGTAAATGGAATATATAAAAAAGATTAATTTAGAAACAATTCAATTTTTTAGCCAAATTTTATTACACACCATGATCCTTACTTAGGCTTAAAGTTCCCTTCTCTTCGTATTACCTTTCTCTGTGAAATRTTATATTAAAAAAGTGTCGATCCTTTTATTTTGTTATTTAATTATGTACAGGATGTTATCCTGTTGCTCAGATATTCACCAGAACTTTATATTTTTGTATTAGTTTACAACATGGTTATAATTAATTGCCGGGGGGTATAATTTGAAGCTGTCAGATTTGATGATCATTTACGAACCGCTGTGAACAGTCTCTGGTTTCCTAATTACATAAAAAATATAAATTAAATGTTTATTAAATGAMGTATGTACATAAAATCTTACCATGCTGAATATTTTCACGAAAACTTCTCGTTTGGCTGTTTAACCTTCTAAAGCGAGGAGTCAAATCGACCGCCATAACAAACCGCCTTCTTCATTTGTATTTAAAATGTAGCGAATCCGTGCTTTCGTTTTAATTCCGCCACCATCAGGCAGTGAGCAGAACTGCAATTGCAGCACATGCGTAAACAAAACCGTCCTTCGCAAGCATGGATTTGGGGCAGACCGTACCAAACCACGGCAACAAAGAACGTAGGATTTTGAAATAATGTAAATCGTCCCGGTTCTCAAACTAGCTGTGTTTATTTCAAGATTAGGGATCGGTTTCGAAATCCAAAGTTTTCTTTAATATTCAAAAACATGCTTAAAATCAAGTGCTCGTTTGTTTGCCCGAGGTGGACACCCCTAGGCGGGAAATGGTTTAGCCTGTTGTCCTTATATAGCCAGAGATTGGAGTAAGAACGGAAGGACGTTTAAACAGCATTTAAAACGAGGTATCGCTGAAACGAAGAACTGTTTTTGTACTTTTCTGGACACTCGAACGTGGTAAAAGCCAATCGCACATATAAAGGTTTGTGTGGTTGTGGTTAATTTAGGTCACGTTCTTGTCGGTAACTTTAGCRTTATTGTCGAAAGTCACTTTGTTGTGGAGCGGAAATAGAAGTGTAGCTAACAGGTTSTAGCTAAATTTCTATTTTAAAACAATACTATTATGTATTGATTTTGACGTGTGGCTTAACGACGTTTCTTTCGAAGTAAATTTCGTTTGGAACAATATGCCATAAACCGAATGTTCTAATTTGTGTATTTAAAAGGCTTCTTGTTTTGATCAGGAGCTTGCATCACGTGTATCCACTTCTAATCCGTGTGTGGATTTTTTTTTTTTTAATCTTTGTACAAAACTATTGTAACCAAAGGTTTTCCATGGCGTGGTGAGTGACGGGCAGCAAAACCAATGAGGTGCGTCCTCCCGCAGAAAGCCTCGCCTCTGATCCAGTGCTTTGTTTACATTATACTGCAGTAAAATCTGGATGCTTTAGGGGTTGTTTTTGTTTGTGCACGAGTTGTTTAATGAGTAATGAAGCATCAAGAGTATGGAAAAATACATTTTGATCATTTAAATATGTTAAATACATGATAAAAGGTTCAGTTTTGCAAAGTTGTTTTGTTCGAAATACATAAGTGAATCCCACATTGAAGCAGCAGATGACCACCTAATCCCTAATTATCTGTTCTTAATCCACTGCGTCAATCCCTCCAGATGATTTCTGTATATTAGCCTGCTGTGTTGCTTTGACCCAGCTTTGATCAGTGCTCCTTGAGCTATCTTTGAACTGCAAGAGCTGAGTCTGTATTCRTTTTTGGCTGCAGATAACTGAGACCAGGAGCAGGAACACCCAAGGGTCCCTGTAKGTTTTAGATAATGCTAGAAAAGGCAAGACCTGCTTTATTTACATATATTTTGTAATGTTTAAATTAATGTGATTTACAATAATATCAGGATGAAAATGTCCATGACCTTTAATGGTTTTTGTCATCCTTAGATTAGTGGAAGACCACACAGGAGGATCAGGTGTAATGTGATCTCTTGGACAGTTAAGAAGACCTCTGTTGTCCCATGTAGCCCTGGAGACATTTCCCTTTTTTATGTGGACAGTCTTTTGTTCAAAACTCAGTTAAAAGTGACTCACTGTCCAGACTTGTAATCAAAAACTGATCGTTTTCCCGGTACTTTTTTTGTTCGGGGTCTTCCAGTGAAATCGATGAGCTGTCGAAACCATGTGCAACAAATCGCTGTCTGTGTGTCCATGGCGACTGGCCTGCCAGCTGTTGAATGTGTCCGGTACTTTGTTGCACACCCAACTATAGCAACAAAGGCCACATTCTCAAGTTTATAGGTGCTGTCAACGGTCTTTTATTCATGTTGCAGGTTCTGTTGGAAATGACTAGTAATGTTTAAGTAGATTAAAGAGTAACTAACCCTCAAATAAACTCCTTTTTTTTTTGCAGATAAACTGTCTAAATTGTGCTTTAAAGGCACAGTGTGTAGGATTTTGTCAATTCTTTTAGCTGAAATTGAGATAATCACTAATAACAATAATAATAAAAAACATGTCTAATCATTGCAGACAAAGACCTTGTTTTATTATTTTTACCTAGTGCTGGGCGGTATGACCTAAATTTTATATCACGGTATTTTCAACAATTACACCAGTTTCACGGTATTTGACAGTATTTTTTTCCCTCTCAGCTCAGCTGATAATAAAATGTACAAACTTTGTTTATTGACTTTTTTTCTTTTACTGTACCTCTGTATCACTGTATCCCTTCTCTTCTACGTCTTTTCTTTTCCTGGTTGTAGACAGTAATCATGCATTTTAGTCTGATCATGAAGGGTTGAGAAAAGATCATCATCGGGTCAATCGTCTGTCAATAAAACTTAAAAGGACGACTCACCTTGCACACCAGTCAACTTCGCTCTACTACAAAACTACATCCCCCGGCTTTTCACAATAGAAGCACATTAAAATCTCTATGCATTAACGTCTCCATTATAACATCGCGAGTTAAATCTAACCGTGCACGTCACTGAAGAGTTGTTTACTACATTCAACAGTGGTGAAAACGGGATGTTTGTTTTACGTCAGTCAATATAAGCAGCTGAAACACCCCCCACTTCYAGTTACTGCAACGTTAGCATGCTAATGCCCTTAGCGGTGCTGCGGGAAACATGTCCCCCAGGAAACAGATCACTGGCGGCCGCGGCGAAACGTTCCGCACGTGTTCAGGCTATGTAAAACAGTATGTCCGGTATTCAGATGATTCATTTCATAACAAAAATAAAAACCGGTTTTCGGTACAAAACGGTATACTGCCCAGCACAATTTTTACCTTTTATAAAAABCTGTTTATATCTCCATGGTCATGGGTTGCCACTACAGGCAGCCACCATTTTGCACCGCCATCTTGCCTACGAAGGCTCATGAAGGACAAACTGCGGTGGTGGCGTCAAAAACGGTTTTAGTTGTAATACTATAAATGTAATATTTGTTGTCTGTCATTGTAGCTGGGATAATTTTACTTATTTAAGCTCATAATCTTACCATTTGAAACATCACTTGCCCTGAAGCTGCTGGTAGACATCGCRGTTGGAATTATCAAAGGTTTTTGACACCTGAGAGACACCGTAGCAACTCCTTTGTGTTTGGAAGCGGGGGGTGGGGGTGGGGGGAGGACCAGGGAGGATGATTCAACCACTAGATGTCGCTGAAAACAGCAAATCCTACACACTATGCCTTTAAGRGTCATCTAGTACTATTTTTGTGCTAATTTTGACGTTTTTGTGTAAATTTGTAAAAAATATTTGTAAWACTTGTTCTAAAAATGTCTTAGCACTGCATACTATGGGTTGAACAGTGGTACTGCAGTTGAATTTTCCTATTTGTTAAAACGATAGGCTATATGTTTTCGTCACAGTTAATGTTATCTGGTATAARCTTCTCTCTCAGACATGCCCCTGCAGTGAGTCGGGGGTTGGAACAGCTAGGAAGTTTGTTACTGCTTTACGTTATCCCATTTTAGCAATAACGCTAACATCACTATAACACAATCACAGACTGACAAACACACAATGCCTCAGCCGTATCAGTGTTATCCTGAGTCAGCCCTTTGAACCACCAGCTCAGTCTAAGATTTTAGCCAGAGCCTCCCCCTCTGTGACGAGGGAGTAAAAATGATGCTTTCATAAAACTTAAGACTGTGTATTGACTTCCATTCATTTTTGTAACTGCATKTATGCCTTYATCTTGGCCCTGCCCCCTTTATTGGCATTTTTCAWATTTGCCTTGGGGCGGGGCTAATCRTATTTTAATAACTATTTCAAAGTTGWTACACTTTTTTGTGTGTGTATTTCCTTTATAGATCAACTAGTAACTTTGGATTTGAGCTTGCTGAACAAACCTCTTATTGACGTATCTTATGCGAAACTGAACGCCACGATGCCTCGAAACGACGAGCGACCCTGCTCCACGTCCAGCGGCGAGGAYCAAGGCAGCGATGCAGATTCGTTGTCGGAATCGTGCGCGAGCACGACGACGTCCGGCAACCTCGACTCCTCCCGTAACAGCTTCAACAGCGACGGCTCCAGCAAACATTGCACTCCTTCCTGTGAGTTTTCTTTAAAGATGGCTCCCTAGTTTTTCTGGTTTTACAACTTAAAGGGACTGAAAAACGTTGTCATTTAGCTTCAATAATCAGAGGTTTCTTCCATGTTTGCGCCCTCCACAGCAAGCCCACCCAAGTTTTTGACTCTAGAGGAAGTCATGCAGGCTGGAAAAGACCTGTTTGATCTCAAAATCACACATGAGATGATTATGAACAAGGCTTTCCACCTGAAGCCAAACCCCGAGCCACCGAACAGGTACAGTGCGTACCCATACATCAGGTTGTGTGGAAGAATGTTTCGTGAAATTCCTACAACACTAGTTAARTTTAYGATWAACTGTTGCTTGGACTACRTTTTGTTGAAAGGATCATTAACATGTAACAGGAAAAAAAWWTGGATTGAGTGTGTGTGTGTGTGTGTGGGGGGGGGTTAGTGATATAAAAGGGTTAATTTTAAATAGCAGTTTTCTAACATGGTGTACTTACCCCCCCCCCCCCTTTTTTATTTTTTTTTTGTCTTTTTAGTTTATGGAAAATGGTAAAGGAAAACGTCCGCAAGGTCTTCTGGGACATCCTGGAGTCTGAGCTGAACAGTGACCCACCTGAATATCAACATGCCATCAAGTTATTGGAGGAGATCAGAGAGGTTCGTACATACTGGGATGCATTTGATGCACTTTTTTAAAGACTTTTATAGTCTTGAAAGAGTTTTAACATTTTAATAATTGAAAGGCTACAACAAATGTCTGAATTAAAAAAAAAAATGTGGTTGTTAATTATAATTTCCCTATTTTATTTTAATTTTTTTTCTTCCTTGAACAGATCTTGCTCTCATTCCTTAATCCGGGTGCCAATCGGATGCAGACTCAGATCATGGAGGTGCTGGACATGGACCTGATCCGTCAGCAGGCAGACAATGATGCTGTAGACATCCAAGGACTCGCCTCATACATCATTACCACCATGAGCAAGATATGTGCCCCAGTAAGGGACAAGGAGATCAAGAAGCTACGAGAATTAAACACGGATAATACAGTGACACTCTTTAGGTAAAMGCTTCAATTTTATGCATTTCAAATAAGAGTTGTAGCAAATTGAAATGATTTTCTTTTTTTAATTTTAACTCATTTATTTATTTTATTTAGTATTAAGTTCCTGCTTTGTAATTGTTTTTTTTTTTTTTTTTTCTTTTTACACACAAGGGAGATTTTTCATGTTCTGGACCTGATGAGGATTGACATTGTCAACAGTGAGATCAGAAACGTGCAACCTGTGCTGCAGATGATCAGCGCTGAATACGAGAGGGAAAAGTTTCAAATTGTCTTGGACAAAACCCCCAGTAAGTTTAAGAAGAAATATTATGAAAAGGATGCATTTTTTTAAACTGCTAAACTACATACAGTATTAAGATATTTGTCGCATTTTATGTRAAAATATGCATTGTAATGTAAAATCTGTTGTTTCCAAGTTGAGCTGAAAAGATACCCTGCTACTTTTTCAGCTGCTTTAAACAATACCACCTCCTGGATCCAGTCGGCTGTAGAAGAGCTGCTTTCAGCCTCCGTCCCCACAGAAAAACCCAGCGACTCGGAGAAAGGATTCAGAGCTCTCCCCGGGCCTTACCAGATCCTCAACACTGCTTTCTTTCACATCCTCAAGTGGGACTTCTCCAAGGGCCCAGTACCTGAGGTAATGTGATTTTTAAAAGCAAATACTTATAGTACGGACACATGCCGTATGTTATTGTTTGTAGTAACCAGAGAATTACCAGAGTATTTTTGATTCGTTTTAGACTTGGATGACAGATGAGACCCGACTAGAAGAGCTCCAGTGGCAGCTGAAGCAGTGCGAGGCGGTGAACGAGGTGCTGCTCATCCTGTTCAGCACCGTGGGCGAGCCGGTCCAGGGGCTCGCTTCCCTGTTGGACCGCTTGAAGAGAATGATCAGCGTGCTGCTTGACGGGATGCACAAAAAGTCAGCTCCCCCCCCCCCCCTTTTTTTATTAAATACATTTTCTTCAAATATATCATTGTGCATCATAGCTTTTTGTTTACCTTTTATTTTACAGGGAGTCTAACCTAAAAGAAGCACTAGAGGGCGTCAGTGCGCAGGTTTGCTGTGAGCTCAACAAGTCTTTAATAGAGAGGAACTACCCTGCACTGACCCCAGAGCTGCAGGCTACACTAACAGGACAGATCTGCAGCATCAGTCAGAAGGATAATCCCATTCGCACTCTAGTTGGTAAGACATTAAGAGACCGATGTGGTGCAGATGTGCATGTGAAAGAATTTTTTTCATTATTCTTTAAATACAAATCGAACGGTAGGCGCTGATAACTGATCTAGTCTTCTCAACTGCAGAGGATCGTGTGCAGCAGTACTTCATGGGGATCCTCTCTGACCCCAAACCCCAGGTCAAGCTTGAAGAGGTGCCTGCAGGTCTGGCCGCCGTCAAGCCGGAGCTCGTGCTGATCGGCAAAACCTTCCTGTCTCTTGTCAACTACAACAGGGCTGTTTACGGACCTTTTTATGCGAATATCATCAGGAAGCTGCTGTTCGGCGATGCCGCTCCACCAGGAAGCCTTCCTCAGGAACCAGCTCAGAAG